AGAGCAGTCGGTGCTCTTAACCTCTGAGCCATCTCTCCAGCCCCTCTTCACAGCTTTTAAGTACCATGATTCTAAAAGCAAACTTCAGTGACCAAGACTCCTTAGAAATGTAATAGAGGGAGGAGAATAGGAGATAACCAGCTCGGCCAAGAGAATGATTCTGACCAGGTGACGATGCCCTTAGAAAGGGAGAAGCTGTTTAGGAAATTAACCACAACACCACTCAGGCTTGGCTTTGGCTCAGGGACAGATTCCAGGGTAGTAGTGCTGGTAGATAGATTGCTGTCAAACTAGTCTATTGGGAACACTTTGTTTCTTGGCAACTGAATGAATCCTTTGTTTAAGCAATCTGCCTACAAATAAACCCTGAGTGCTGGAGAGGGCAAATGAGCCTCTCTGTCTTGGAAAGCACTGCTCCCAGTGCCTCAGCTGTAGTGCTCCCAGTAAGCTTCCCTCACCTGGTTCTGACCTTCCCTCAGGGCTGGTGGTTGGAGATCCAGGTTCTGCAGAGATAGTCTCTCAAAGCTGGCTAGGTTTCCTGCTGGTTCTGGGTGACAGCCAGGGCTGTCTTTGAACATGACATCAACAATACTTTTAAAAAACAAAAGGCTTGGGCTGGAGAGATGGCTCAGTGGTTAAGAGCACTGACTGCTCTTCTAGAGAGAGGACCTGGGTTTGAATCCTAGTACCCACATCAGCTGACACACAACCAACTGTAACTCCAGTCCAGGGACATCTAGCAGTGGCACTCAGGCACACCCTCACCCACATACACATAATTTAAAATAAGAAAAATAAAGCGTTAAGCATTTGGGGGCATTCAGTCAGCCTTTTAAACTTTATTTATTTAATTTTTCTTTTTTTTTTTTTTTTTGGTTTTTCGAGACAGGATTTCTCTGTGTAGCTTTGGAGCATATCCTGGCACTTGCTCTGGAGACCAGGCTGGCCTCGAACTCACAGAGATCCGCCTGCCTCTGCCTCCCAAGTGCTGGGATTAAAGGCGTGTACCACCAATGCCCGACTTAATTTTACATTTTTTTTGTTGTTGTTTTGAGACAGGGTCTTAGTTCTGGGTGTTTTGGAACTCACAATGTAGACAAGGTTGTCCTTGAACTCAAAGAGATCTGCTTGCCTCTGTCTCCCAAGTGCTGGGATTAAAGACCTGGCTTGATTTTTTGTTTGTTTTGTTTTTTGTTTTTTTCGAGACAGGGTTTCTCTGTGGCTTTGGAGGCTGTCCTGGAACTAGCTGTTGTAGACCAGGCTGGTCTCGAACTCACAGAGATCCATCTGCCTCTGCCTCCCGAGTGCTGGGATTAAAGGTGTGCGCCACCAATGCCCGCCATTGTTTCTTAAAGACATTATGGCTGAAATAGATTTTTCCCAAAATTAAGCATTTTAAATTATTGGAGCCGGGTCAGGTGGCTCAGCAGTTAAGGGCACATGCCACCAAGCCTGATGGCCTGAGTTCCACAGGGTGGAAGCAGAGAAGTGACTCCTTCAAGCACACCACCCCCCAATAAATCTAAAATAATAATAAAAAAATTGTTGAAAAAATAGAAGCCTTCACAGTCAACTGTTAATTTCAAGAGAATTGATAGAAATGTGTGATACTTTGAACCAGACTTTGGGATACCAGTATGGGCTAATTAGAATGAATTAGAATTACTATCTAATTCATGCCTAGAACTTGGGAGAAATCAGTATATATTGGAGGAGGTCTAAGTTATACATATAATCGTTCCTACTTCCCAATATAGTTGATTTTTTTAAAGAGATATTTATTTATTTATTATGTATACAACATTTTGCTTCCATGTATATCTACACACCAGAAAGGGGCACCAGATCTCATAATGGAAGGTTGTGAGCCACCATGTGGTTGCTGGGAATTGAACTCAGGACCTCTGGAAGAGCAGCCAGTGCTCTTAACCTCTGAGCCATCTCCTGATTTTTATAAATATAACATTAAAAGATTTTGTTTGCTTGTTTTATGAAATTATCCAGGGTTGGGCAGATGGCTAAGTGAGTTATGTGCCTGTTGTACAAGCATCAGGACCTGATTTTGGGACTTTAGCATTCTTGTCTGATGTGGAGACATGAACCTGTAATCCCAGTTGCTGTGTCAAGCAGAACCTAGGGTTTGCTGCCTAGCCAGTCTAGCTGAATGGCAAGTTCTAGGGTTAGTGGTAGATCCTGTTTTGAATATTAAGATGGGCCAGGCGTTGGTGCATACCTTTGATCCCAGCACTCGGGAGACAGAGGCCAGCCTGGTCTACAGAGCGAGTTCCAGGACAGCCTCTAAAGCCACAGAGAAACCCTGTCTCGAAAAACCAAAAAAAAAAAAAAGACAAAAGAAAAGGAAATTAAGATGGGGCCTGGAGAAATAGCTCAGCAGTTAAGAGCACTTGCTGTTCTTGCAGAGGACCCACATCTGTGGCTTACAACTGCCTGTAACTCTCAGAACAGGGGTTCTAAGGCTCTTCTCTGGCCTCCTTGGGCGTCTGCACAAGGTGATGCACATAGAAATAGCTAGGCACAAACATAAAACAAATAAATCTTTAAAAAATAAATGGAGAAGTGACTGAGGAAGACATCCTGAATCAACCTGTGATCTCAGAACACACCTCCTTCATGCACATACATACACCCCACACAAACATGTCAGATGAGAAATTGTTTCCTTGTAGTTTCATTACCCTGTTTTATCTTTGTTATTTTTGTTTTCTCTCAATGTCCTGTCCCCCCACCCCTTTTTTTGAGATAAGGTATTATAGCCTAGGCTAGTCTCAAACTGTGGGTATAGCTGTGGATGGCCTTGAATGCCGGATCCTCCAGATTCTGCCTCTTAAGTGACAGGTGTGTGTTAGTATACCTAACAAAGTTACTTTTTAAGAATCTTTTATGATGGCTCAGCTCAGCTGATAACGGCACTTGCTGCCAAACCTGAGTTTCATCCCTAGTGGAAGGAGAGAACTAACTCCTGAAAGTTGTCCTTTGAGCTCCACGTGTGTGATGTACACACACACACACACACACACACACACACACACACACACACACACAGCATTTAAAAGAAGAGTAAGGGTTAAGCTTCTAGTTTATGGAAATGTCTATAGAGCATTCCAGTAAAGTGCTCCATTTTATATTCCATCAGCATTGTATGAGGTCTCTAATGTTTCCACATTCTTCCCAGAATTTTTCTTTTGGTTTTTCAAGAATCTGGTTTCTCTGTGTAGCCTTGGCTGTCCTGGAATTCTCTCTGTAGACCAGGTTGGGCTTGAACTTAGAGATCTGCCTGCCTCTGCCTCCTGAGTGCTGGCATGAAAGGCGTGCGCCTGGCCATCCAGTAGTTGATGTTTGCCCACAGGTGGAGGTCAGAGGACTATAGTACTTGGTAGTTTTCTCTGCCTTTTTTTTTGTTACAAACAAACAAACAAACAAAAAAACTAGGGCCTTGGTCTTTCTGTTTCCAAGGCTGGCTTCAAACTTGCAACAATCCTCCTGCCTCAGCCTCCAAAGTACACTATTCCTCTATTAAGCAATCATCCCTTGTTTGTGATGGAGAGAGGCTAGGCAAGTACCCTGCCCCTGAGCTCCATCTCTAGGCCTGAGAGTGGAAACCTGGTGCTTTAGCTCCTTTCCTTTTGTTTCAGCAAACAGGTGTCCAGAGGCTCCTTATGTGGCTAAGTTATGTTCCAGATTGGGTGTGTTGAC